CATCGTAGCGGCAGCGCCAAGGTGACCCTACGCCGCGTGTTTGGCGTCGCCGTTTTTTCTTGTTTCTCCCTATTTAGGAAAAAAATCATAACTTTTTTTAAGATGGAGTAAAAATTTTATTTTTTTGCCAGATTATAGATTGAAGTGTTGACTATGATTTAGCAAAAAAACAAAAATTTTGACCGATTTATTTAAAAGTTATGATTTTTCTAGCAAGGTACTACTTTTTGTTAAAAAATCACTGAAAAATGAGGTACTTTTGGATATACTTTAGCCTGTGGCCCACTCAGAAACGGGACAAATTATATACCATTTGATTCGTCTCGGCGAGCTGAGTCGATGGTACCATTCTTTTTTTGCGGAAATGCCTAAAGAGCCGAGATATAGGTCCTTGAAAACCGAAAAACCATAGGGGGGAGTAAGCACATTTTGGGATGAAAAATTCGATTTTTTAAATCATAGCTCATTCGAAAGAGCTCATCGAGAGGAGTCGAAGGACATCAAAATCAGCGAAATCTGACTTGATTGGACCGAGATATAGGCCCCTAAAAACCGAAGATCAAAATGGACGATTTTTGGAAATAAAAATTTTTACACATTTTATAGCTCATTCGAAAGAGCTCGACGAGCTGAGTCGAATGACACCAAAATCACCGTGATTGAAATTGTTTAGACAAAGTTACAACCGAAAAAACAATATACAAAAAACAATATACTGCACGCAATTGCGTATTGCGAGTTGCGGATTGCGTAAATTGCGCGGTTTTTTGCAATTGCGAGTTGCGGATTGCGTTTGCGGATTTTTATGATTTTTACGCAATTTTCACGCAATTTTTCCAAATTTCCCTCCCAATAAATGGAAAAAATCTGGCTTCTTGTTCTTCCCAAATTCTCAAAATTTTCGCCTGCGGCGCTGAAAAAGGAAGAGATTTGTCTTATAGGCGTCCGAAATTCTCAAAATTTTCGCCTGCGGCGCTGAAAAAGGAAGAGATTTGTCTTATAGGGCTTCCGAAATTCTCTCGGTTAACCGAAAATTTCGGTTCGGTTTGTCGGTTCGGTTTCGGTAACCGATGAATCTGGTGAAACCGACAACCATACTCATATACAATTTAAACTATAGCTTATAGTGATTAAATTTTTTTATCTTTTTTAAAAAAATTGCGGATTGCGAGTTGCGGAAATTGCGTAAATTGCGCGTTTTTTGCAATTGCGAGTTGCGGATTGCGTTTGCGGATTTTTAAAAAGAAATTGCGAGTTGCGGATTGCGAGTTGCTGAATTTTTTTCAATTGCGTGCAGCCCTGGTCTTGAGTCTTGGTCTTGGAAAAAATTTTGTCTTGGGTCTTGAGTTTGAGTCTTGGAAAAATTTCGGTCTCGGACAGCTCTACAAATCCTCTGATATAACTAAGGCTGTGATTTATAGGCAAATGCCTTTTTTTTCTGCGAGCTTGGCATGATGTAATACGTTCAAAAAACGTGTTTTTAGCTTGGTCCGAATAGTTTAGCATGACTTTTAATATGCCTATTTTTGCCTATTTTGGACTTTTTGAGCCTTTTTGCCTATTTTGGAATTTTCGGTACTATTTTTGCCTTTTTTAGCGATTTTTCCTAAATTTTGCCTAAAAATCAGTGAAAATCTAAAAAAATCAGCCCAGATTTAAAGAAAATCCGTGCCAACCCCAAATTTTAATTTATAATTCGACAAATTAAGTATTTTTACTCCGTTGGACATTTTGAAATTAGACGTTTTGGTGTTGGGACATTTTGGGGTGGGACGTTTTGTGGGTTGGGCAAGACTTGCTTTTTGTCAATTATCGACATTTTAAAAAATTACACTATTTTTTGCTCAAAAAATGATTTAAAATGACGAATAAATGGCAAAATTGTCAAAAAATGGCGAATAGGTGGTTATTTTCTTGTTTTTATCATAATTTTATTGGCTGATAACCTTTTTTACCTGCCTATTTTTGTGCCTTTTTTGGCTTTTTGGTGCCTATTTTAGGCGCCTATTTCACTAATTTTACTTGCCTAACTATCACAGCCTTAGATATAACATTCAGCTTTCTTTTAAAGCGGCGCTGGCAAAACTTTTTGGATTTTGGTGCCAGATTTCTTCCTTTTTTAGCGCCGCAGGCGACAAAATAAAATCCTGAACAGTGAAAATTAACAGACGGATCCTGTATCAGGATTGGGTTTTAAAATTTCATACAGGACAGGATCCTGCAGGATTAATCCTAAAAATCCTGGAATCCTGACAATCCTGAAAACTGAAAAAAGCAGGATTTCGGACAGGATTATGAAAAATCCTGTGCGGGATCCTGTCCTGTGCCGATCTCTAGTTTTAATTTAAATTTTAAACAATTTTGGCGTTATGTTTTTTGGCATAACGATTTTTCAAAAATCGACAAAATATTTTTGTCTTTTTCTATTTACATATTTTCTGTTTTTCTTTTAAAAAATATTTTTTCTCCAACATATTAATAAATGTGCATTTTTATAATCTTCTTTTTTTGTCTGTTATTTGAATAAACTTTTGTTTAGGTCAAAACGTTTTATTTTAAAAAGAAGACTTTCCCTTCCTTTCCAAATCATTCACTTAAAAATTAACCCTCTTTTTATACACTTTCTCTTTTTGTACAAAAAATGTTGCATATTTTGCCTAGTGAAATTTTGCAACAAAAATGGGTTGCCCGGCTCTAGTTCATAATTATAAACTTTACCTTTTTTTGAGTTTTCCTTGGAAATTTTTTTTTAAAAAAATTTTTTCAAAAATCTTTTTAACCATACCAAAAAATTATTTTTTTATTTTTCAAAATTTAAGGTTATTAAATTAAAAAAAATATTTAATAATGAATATTGGTGATGAGGGAATGCTTCTCTCCAATATTGCAATTTGTGTTGGCGTGACGAAAGATGGACGTTTTAAAGTAGCCCATCTGGTTTTGTTAGGTAAGGCTTGCGAACAGAAACTCGGGGAGGGTGGGGGATCTCACATAACTGTTAATTTTCTTATGTAAAATAAATAAAAGGGTTTTAGAAAGGGATCTTTTATAATACTGGAGCTTCCGGAGAATTTTGTCGTTACCCTAAACATAATTTTTTTAATTCTAGAACGACCACAGTGCATTCATACTTGTCCGTGGAACTTAGAAGAACATTTTGAAACAGGCCGTTGGTGAGTAAAATAAACTTTCAAAACATGACAATGTTTGTCAATGTTTAAGTAAACTTTAACCGCTAAACATACAAAACAATGTTTTAATTGGTTTGAACAATTGTAAATAAACAGCCAAAACAAACATCTAAGTAAACATGTTTTTGAACATTGACAAACACGTGAATTTAAAACATGTTTTTAAACTTGTTTAATTCGATCAAAACATGAAGTCAACAAAAACATGTTTTTAATAACATGTTTTTAAAGATTGACAAACACGTAATAAACATGTTTAATTCGATCAAAACATGAAGACAAAACAAAAACTTGTTTCTAATAAACATGTTTCTAAACATTGACAAACATGTGAATTTTGAAGCTTGTTTAAATAAACTTGAATCCAAACATTAAAACAAAACATTCAAGTTGCAATAAATAATCCTAATTGTTAAAACAAACATCTAAATAAACATCCAAACAAACATTTAAATAAACTTGAATAGAAAAACAAAGTTTAAATTTAAGGTATCGCCAAGTTCGTCTGAAAGATGAATATTCAGCAATAACTAAAACATATTGGAAGTTAATAGATGATGAATTTATTCCAACAATTTTAATTCGAGCTGGGGAAAGATTTACTTTGATTGAGGTGATTTAAACGAATTTTGTTTACGCTTCAATTTTTTATTTTAGGTATCATTGCCTATATTTTTTGCACCAGACTTGTCCTTATTTTCATCGTTACAACATAAAAATTCAAAAGTTGCATTAAAACCAATTTGTCCTTTGTTTGGACAAGAGAGTGTTCAGGTGGATTCTAAATTTTTTTCAAAATTCACTTTTCTCTTAAATTTTCTTAGATTTTGGATCTGCCAATCGACGGATTTTCTGATAGAAACGGCAATGCGCCTGTACCCGGAACTCTTTATTGTGTTCGAGTTCAAATGTGAGCAATTTATCTAGTTTAAAGCTCATTCTAATTTTTTAGTTCATTTACTCCCGGACTTATCCCGATATGGACATATAATGAAAATTATGTTGGAACACTTGATTCATTCCATTGGACTTCAGCATTTATGGCGGAGGTAAATCAATCTAATGGTTTAACGAACATTAGATTTAGCTTAAAAAATAAAATAAATTCTAGCCTGAACTTAAGACTTAAAATGAGAATACAAGTTCAATAAGTTTGATTTTTTAAGGTTAAGCTTAGAATAAGTTTTAAGCATGAGCTTGCAAATACAATAGGTTTTACGTGCTTCAGATGAGTTTAGAAAAAGTTTTAAGCTTGCGCTTAAGAATCATTAAGTTTTATTTTTCTTTAAGATCAAGCTTGAAAAATAAAAGTTTCAAGCTTGAACTTAAAAATAAATAAACTTTAAACTTAGAATAAGTTTTAAGCATGAGCTTGCAAATACAATAGGTTTTGCTTCAGAGTGAGTTTAGAAAAAGTTTTAAGCTTGCGCTTAAGAAACATCAAGTTTTATTTTTTCTAAGATCAAGCTTAGAAAATAAAAGTTTTAAGCTTGAACTTAAAAATAAATAAACTTAACAAGTTTATGCTTAAAATTAACATTATTTTTGTTTTCAGAATTCTATCAGTACAGACATTTTCAAATCTTATCGTGTAGATGGACTTGTTATTGAGAAAATTGTTCGAATGACAAGACAAAGAAAGATTCTGAATTACTACCTTATACTTCAAGAAAATGCTAAAGAGTTTCCTCCACGTCTGGCAATTGCTGTAGGACACGATGCAGATAAATATGGAGGGGGGAAATCTTTGGATGTTGGGGATTGGATTAGTTTTTTGCCTATGTGAGTGGATTTTTGGATTTAAAAAAATTATTTTTTAGAATGCTTGATTGTTATACCTATCCAGTTTTGTTTGCCTTACATTGCCCATCTTCCAATACAATTTCTAACAAAAAATTGAAATTGTTCAAGGAACCGGGGGGAGACGTGAGTATACTCGAATCAGTTGAAAAATTTTTTTTCTCAATTTTTAACAGTATAAATTGACATTAAAAATTACTGAGGAATATTTGGCTTTTATTAAATCAGGAGTGAACAGCAACAACAATAATTGCCGTTTGCCTGTTCTTGGATTACTCGTTGACCCTTTTAATTGTTCAAAAAACTTGTTGAATAAAGTAATTCTTATGAGCTGGGAAAGTTTAGAAAAAAATTTTTTTTAGCTGGGGCACCTTGTTACAATAGAAATACGCCCTCAATGGCATATGGAAAAAGGAGTGGTCATCTGGACGGCTTTGAATAGTTGTGAAGATTCTAAAGTGCCGGTATTGGAAACGAAAAAATGTTTTAGAGATACTGCGTCAGTTGATAAGTTTGTCGTATATTTAGATTGCAAATTTAAATTTAAAAAATTTTTGTACTCCCCACTACAGAGAGTATTCTTATTTTCATATTATAGTTCGTCAAAAATTGAGTTTTTCTGTCTTAATTAGTTTTAATCTTATTTTGTTAATTTAGTGGGGGAGGGAGCAACAATTGTCGATCCCGAGCCGCATTGTTGTCTTTAGAGATGGGAAGACGTAAACAACTGCCTGTTGGTGATCCAAGAAATTACTGGTGTCAGCATTGCGGGGGCGCTGATCATCTGGTCAAAAATTGTCCCTCGTCATTAAGATGCTTTAAATGCCATGGCCTTGGGCATATGGCGGTAAATTGTGCAAAACGGCACCCCGACTCTTTTTGTATTTTTATTTTAAAATTTTATATAAAATTTTTACAACTTTTTAGTGCCTGGACCTCCACGGTGTTGGAACTGTGGGAAGATTGGGCACAATGACAATGAGTGCAAAGAACAACAGTGGGGACGACGCTGAGATGGAGAACAAATTTTATGTCATTTAACCGTGCATTGTTTTTGTGGGGACGTATGATTATTTTTTAGTTAAATATTTGTTGTGGATGAGTAAATTTTTGTGTTTGAGCTTGTTCGTGTTCGAAATAACCGCGTATATTTTTTTAATTTCCTCCTTCTAAATACCTTTAGTTTTTCTTCTAACAAAACAAAGAAGTCATGCGATGGTAAAGGTTTATTAATTATTTTATTTGATCCGAATTAAGAAAAATCTAGGGGATTAGTCATGAACCTAACGTTAATGTAAGGTTCATGCCTAATCCCACAGCAGATAATGCTAGCGATGAAAATTATAATGATTTTATGTTGGAGATTGTTTATTCCTTCAGGTTCTGACATTCATATATTGTTAAGCCGGTTTGATAGTCATTATGGAGAAATAAACAGTCTCAAACAATATAAAATCTTCATCGTCCCAAGTTTGATAAAATTAACTTTTTAAATAAGTAAACACTTAATCCAAATATTTACTCTTAGCAAATATTTAACGAAAAAATAATTAAAATATATTATGTACATTTCCCCACATCAGCATTGCAAAGTAGAACATACATAAACGAATACCTCAGACTCTCTTATTGTCCCCCCTGTGGTTCTTTGCAGACATGTCTTTATGTCCAGGCTAGTCGCAATTTCCCAACAGCGCTCCGCTCCTGACACTAATGAGTTGTAAAAAATTCATTAAAAATACAGAAACTGTTGAGATTTTTATCCGCGCTAATCCCAGTCCCTTTTCCCAATGGTATAAAGACAACAGTACAGCTCGGTTTCAATAGTTGTTGTTAATGTTATTTTCGTGATTTAAAATAAATTTAAATTTTTTTTTCAAGTTTTGCAATTAATAACAACGACAACTTTACCAGCAATTTTTCACCTTTAACCGGGGCCAATAAATTATCGCTAGGTTCAAAAAGAATTTTAGCAGCCTATTTTACTTACAAATGCTCAACTAATTGTTTTGTATTTTTCGAATTCTGCGAGATAACGAATACTTTTAGTTGTAGACATGATATTCCTTTACAGCCTAAGTAAACAAAATTTATTATATTATGTAAAAAAATTTTTTTTTAATTTTTAGATCAAGTAGAAATATTTCAATTGGTGACTGGTATTATATTGACTTTGAATGTATTTCAAACAAAACAGAACCAGTTAATGTCACCTCAATTAGGCCAACATCGCCGCGTGTAGAAACGCGTGTTAGGCATAATATTTGTGCTCAAGTAGAAAATTTTTTCTAAAAATTTTTTGGCGACCGGTTAATTATCGCCTTCTAAAATTTCCTCATTTTATCTTTAAAATTTTTTCTTTTTGCCACCACAGGCGAAAATTAACCGGTGAATTTTGCGTGATGAACCGAGGCCTGGGTTTTTCCTGTACCCAGAGTCCAGGCCCAGGCATCTTTTGACCTTCCTGGGTTTTTCTTGGGCCTGGGTCTTTCCTGGACTACAGACCCAGGATCCGACCTAGGTCAGTAAATCATACCTGGAACCCAGGAACAGACCCAGGCTTTTCAAAAATCTCGATCTCTAGTTCACATTTAAACATTAAAATTAAAGATTGGTCTTCAATTTTCATTCTCATTTAAAAAATTTTTTAGTTTCGCGGAGGAGGATTTGCTATAGTTAAATGCTGGCATTGTTCTGATCAATTTTGTGCTGGTAGTCAATTCTATTCGGATCCAGACAAAATTTGGTGGCCTGATCTTTGTGTAAAATGTTTTCCAAAAGAGGGAACAACAAATACTTCTCCATTAAATGAAGTAATTAAAATAACAACAAAACGCCCCTCCTTACCACATCCGTCTAATGATAATTTTTCCATGTCTGATACAAACTTGAAAAATTGTTCACCAAAATCATCATTGTATCTCTACGGAGATATGGTGAATTATACGAACAATTAAATAGGGCAACAAGTTTTAAGCTTGAACTTGAAGTTTAAGCTTTAATATTAAAAAACTAGTATAAACATGTTTTAAGTTTAAACAAGTTTTAAGCTTGATCGTGAAAATAACTAGTATAAACAATTTTTTAAATAAAACAAGTTTTAAGCTTGAACTAGAAATTTAAGCTTGAACTTAAAAATATTTAGTATAAACAAGTTTTAAGTTTCAACAAGTTTTAAGCTTGAACTTGAAAACAAAGTTATAATTCTATTTAATTTCCAAGATTAGTCTTAACTTTTTACATTTTCTAATGAATTTAAATTTAGGGCAATACACACTTCCATCCATATTCTCACTTCAGCAGCTCTTCATCACACAAAAGCAATTGTGGTAGTTCGACAATTTCATCCTTCTCAACAACACATTCTAAAAATACAAATATTAATTTTAATAAATCAAATGAATCAATTGTTAAAAATAGAAGATTTTCAATTAGAGAACAGGAACGAAGAGAAAAATTGGAACAACGCGAAAAGCTTGATAAGCTTGCAAAATTGCTAGAAAGTAGAGAAAAAGCTAGTTATGAGGAATTTAAGTCATTAAGAAGTACAAAACCGCCAAAATGTGGTAGTAGTCGCAGCAGTATTTTTTCTAGTGGATACCGTCAATCTCAACAAGAGAAACAACTCAATAAAAACATTAATAATCAAACTAGTAGCCGAACAACATATACAGGTAATACAACTACTTATGGACAATTTATTCATCAACAAAACATTCCTCAAGAAAAACAACAAAACATTCATCAAAACATTTATTTAGATAATCAACATAAACAACAAAACATTGACAAAAACATAGAAGAGAATGTTTGTCAAAATGTTCGTCAAAACATCCAACAAAACATTACGAACAATGAACAAGAATATTTCCATCAAAACATTAAACAAAACAAACAACAAAACATTAATAAAAACAAAGAAGAAAATGTTTTTAAAAACAAGCAACAAAACAAACAACCTAAACCAGTTAATAAATGTTTTAGTGTTCAAAAGAAATTAAATGTTGAGAATATAGAAAATTCAACAACAACAAGTAGTAGTACTTTAAAAATAAATAATGTTGTTGACGAACAACAAAACAACAACAACGATGTTTATTCAAGCAATAATAGTTTGTTGAATGAAACATTAGAAATTAGAACGAGTGAAAGTTCGGATGATAATAATGAACAACATAAGCAACAACAACCATTTTTTGGTGATAATTTTAATCATCAAAAAGCAGAAATTGAGATATTAGATGAAAATTTAAGTGGGACAAAAAAAATTAAAAAATAATGAAAAAATTTGGGGAAAACTTTTTTTGGTTGAGGGGTTCTAATTTTTTAGATTGGGTGGGTCACGGTTTTTTATTTTCAGCCGGACGTTTCATTATTAACTAGTCCTTAAAAACTCTTAAATATCGATAAGGTAGTGAACTATCCCTTACTTTAAGTAAAACTCAAAAATAATTATAAAAATTTAATTCAAAAATTTTGACTTGTCCAGTTCATGCGTCCCATGAAGATTTATGCGTCTCAAGAAAATTTATTTTTAAAAAATTCTCATTCTCATGGGACGCATGAACTGGACAAAAATTTCTTTCACTAATAATAATTTCTTTTTCTTTTAAAAAAAGTTGCTGAAGAATTTTCTTCATTAAAAGTTTCTGATACACAAACAACAAAACAACAAGTTGTAGATGAAGGAGAGCCTGGAGGTTTTGGTTATAGTAGACGTCGTCGTTTTGCTTTTGAATTAAAAACAAATTTGGAACAACAACAAAAAATAAAAGAAGGCAATCCTTTCCAAAAATTTCAATTTTCTTCTAATAAAAATGTTGGGAAAGAAAATTTGCAAAAAATAAGAGGAAATAAAATTGAGGGGGAAAATAATGAAGATGATTATGTTATTGACGAGGCTTTAAATGCTGCATTGTCGGATGAGGAGAGAAATGAAGGAGGGGAAGAAGATAAATATAATGATGAAGAGGTATTTGAATATGATGAAGAGGGGGTAGAAGAAGTAGAAGAGGGAGAAGAAGAAGAAGAAGAGTATGCTGATTATTCTAGTAATGTATCGGGGTAGGGATTTTTATTCTAAATAAATGTAAGGGGGAAAGCGGAGTCAGATGGTTAGCATTCAAGTAAGCTGGATAGAATTTGGGGGCTTAGTAGGATGACCCTTTACCGCCTTTAGGTGGCATTCCCCCCTTTTTTCCCTCTTTTCTGTCAAGGAAGAAATCTGTCTTCTGCCTGCCCCCTTTTGGTGGTTTGGAAGGAGTCACTCTGGCTTAGGATCTATTAAAAAAGTAGGCAAATCAGTAGAGTGCATAAGCTAACGTGGTGCATAAAGCATAGCAATAACTGCCAGGATTAATCAAGATGGAAGCCTGCCCAAGGCTAAGCTTTCACCTCTCTTTAGTTAAGGTATTAATTGTGAGCAAATTTTTCAAATTTTTGTTTAGAGTCCGAATTTTAGGATTGATCTTTTCGATAACCGAGATTTTTAAATTCTTCTAGTTCCTACAATTTTTAACTGAATTTTCGAATTTTCAAATTATTTAAGATCCCGACGATTCACTATCAAACCCAGCCTTTTTTCAAGTAAACTAAAGTTTTTTGGTTAAATGAGGAACAACAATAATATATTGGATTATATATAAAAAACAAATACATAAAATATTTTAGAATTGTATTTGAATATTTCGATTTTCAGTTTATTTTATACGTTTATTTTAATTTTATAAATTTTGGGTTTATCCATTTTATTTATAAGCCTGTCTTTGGCCAGAGCTGTTTCGAAATTTCTATTTTTTTTCCTTCTCGTATTTGACTGAAAAGTTTTTAATTGTGTCTTTTGTCTATTTTTTGATTGTATTTTTTTGTTTCAAAACAGCTCTGATCAGTGTTATCCACAATCGAAAAAAATCCTCAATTTGTTGACAGACATGGTTTCTATTAATTAAATTACATATTATACAATTTTTCACTTTATTTTTTTTTTCCTCGATAAAATTAATGACAAATGACTGAATTTTTTGCTTTTTTAACCGTTATAATAAGGAATTGTTCAATAACTCAAAGGGAACAACTTTAAAATTTGTGGGAAGTAAAAACTGAATTAACGTCTCTTTTTACATCAAAAAAAAGAATTTTATTGAAATTTTTGTTTAAAATTTTGTTCAAAATGCGTTTGTAGGGTGTATTCTTGTATTATAACCAGTTGTTCTTGGGTTTTGGACATTTATTTGATTTTCTGAAGAATTTTTTGGTGTTAACTTGTATCTTACACGCCCCTGAAATTATAAATTTTTTTTCTAAATTTAGTGATTTACTTAGGTATTTAATTTAAAAATAAATTTGGATGAAGATAAAATTATTCTAACATAAAATACCCTAAGAATCAAATCACTTCAGTTTAGAATACGTTTCTAATTCGGTTATTGGGTGTATTTTTACTCTCACATTGTAAATATGGGTTGGATTTTTCGTTCGAGTCATTCCTTCGGGCCTCATTTTTACCGAACCATGCTTTCGATCCTTTTCGGTCCAAAATTTGAGGCATGGTTCGATCTTGAACCGAACTGGCCCCCAACCCAATTTACCCCTTTGAATTTATTAATAATGAGGTCAGTGTGTATTTTTATCAAAATATTTTCAAACTTGATAATTAATTACTTGGTGTAGATTAGCAAGTGATTGTGTTGTAACTGTAATATCAGTTCCAATAAATCTGCGAAGGGTATGTCGATAAGTCAAAACGGAAATTAGAGCATCGAAACAGTTGAGGAAGTGATTTATGGGACCGATAGTTGAAGCAATTTGATGTTCAATTATCTAACATGAGAAATAATATTTTCGTGTTTTAAGAATTTTTTATATTTTAAGCATGATCTTAATTTTTACCAATAATAATATGTACTCAAGTTTTGGGCGTACTCTAATTTTATAGCTTTTTTCAAGTTTTAAGCGTGACTTAAGATTTGTTCATTAAATAATTTCAAGTCCAAACTTGTTTTTTTTTCAAGTTTTAAACACCACTTAATTTTTATTTATAATTTCTAGTTTATCTTCAAGTTTTAAGCGTAAGCTTAAGTTTTATTTATAATTTATTTCTATTTTATCATGTTTTAAGCATGAACTTAAGTTTTTTTAAACTTGTTTTAATGTTTATTCTCAAATTTTAAAAGTTTTATTTAAAAGAAATTTAAGTTCAAGCTTAAAACCATAAAACAAAATAATATCTGCTCACCAATTGTATGATGAAAATTGTTAGTTGTGGTGCGAAATTCAATCCTATTTCTGTACAAAGCATTAGCTTGACTAGAGTATCTGGCTGAAGGGAATTTATTATTTTTCGATAATTTTTATTCTTACAAACCTCCACTTTATTTAACTGATTTCTAGCAATATTCGATTGCATATTTGTACTTATCGCTTTTGCTCTTTTTCTTAAACAATAAAAAAAGTAGGCTCCGAAAATTATTATCATAACTCCACCAAACAATTTAGTTGAGATGAATGCTGTTAAATTAATAATTATTTTTTATATTTTAATTTTTAGCATCATTTTGTATGTACTAATTAATTTATTTCTTTCGAATGTTTCAAAAAGCTCATATTAATGTTTTAAGGCTAAATCAATGTTAAAAACTAAAAGTAAAGCTTGAACTTAAAAACACAAAATTAAGTTCAAGCTTAAAACATTGAAAAAAACAATTTAAATAAAGCTTGGACTTAAAAACACAAAACAAAGCATAAACTTAAAAACATAAAATTAAGTTCAAACTTAAAATATTGAAAAAAAACAAGTTAAATAAAGATTGGACTTAAAAACACAAAACAAAGCATAAACTTAGAAGGATAAACTTAAAAACATAAAATTAAGTTCAAGCTTAAAACATTGAAAAAAACTTAAAGCTTGAACTTAAAAACACCAAACAAAGCATAAACTTAAAAACATAAAATTAAGTTCAAGCTTAAAACATTGAAAAAACAACTTAAATAAAGCTTGGACTTAAAACTTACTTATGTTTCCATTTTTCATCAAACATGCAAAAACATTACAATCTAAACATCAAGTTTGTAAAACATTTAAAAAATGTTTTTAAAACCTGTCTCAGCAGGTAACGGCAAAATTTGAAGAAATGCATAAAAGTTTATAAAAAATATAGCCAATATTGTCAAAACACAAGCAAAAAGCAATCTAATTTTGTTTCGTTCTTCATAGCCATTTAAAAGTTGGACAGAGAAAATTCTGTCGAGAGTCAGAAAAAATATTGAGTAGGGGATTACAGCCATCATACTATAATAATTAAATATTTTGGGGATTAAATTAATCTATCTAATTTACCATTCTGTAGTAATTGTTGTCCAAAATACATAATTTGGATTAATCTGGCGACCTATAAGTTTACTGATAAAATAACTTTTTTGACTTCTGATTAACTTTGTTGGCCTCTCCTAGCGTGGAAGAAAACAAATGATTTTCAAGTTTGTTTATAACGGTAGAGGGTCTATTATAGCCTATGTATCCCAATTTAATCTTTTTTGGTCTATTTTCGGTTTTTTGTTTAGTTTATTTTCGGTTTTAAGTTCAAGCTTAATTTTTCATGTAGAAGGAAATTTTGTTTTTAAATTTAAGCTTGGGTTTTAAAAATTTTTTCGCCTTCATCAAGATTATATAAAGTTAGCCGTTCATTACACTTTGTCTCGAATCCCTGTTCTTAGGGTGTAGGCTTGGTTTTGAGCCTGGGAAATTCTAGTTTGAAAAGTACTCTCTTGTACAAGTTTATGAGGTCTTTTGATAATTTACTTAAAATTCACCCTCAGGACGCCAATGAAATAACATCCACGCAATATGAGGCAAAGCAGTTGCCATCAATATTGTCCAACATATAAGATTAGCAATTAACAAATTAGAAATTCCGTTATTTTCCTTAAATTTAAAAAATATTTTTTAAAAAATTTATTTTAAAATTAATATACTCTTAAAATAAATCCTTTAGAACGATGTTTAAATAATTCATAAAGTATTCGAATAATAAATTGTAGGGATATAGCGTAGACAATAAATGCTGTCGAATATTCAAGTAGAGTTAAAATATTGGAGAATTCAGAGACTTTAGGCATTTTTGAATTTAGTTTAGTGTTGTTATATCAATAATTTAGGACATAAATAAATGGTGTGATTATTCATATTCTTGATTTTATATTTAAGCTTAATTTTAAGGGGTTAAGAGCAAACTTTATCAAGTGGAAAAGCTTAGTTTCATGTTTGTAAGATCAAACTTAATTTAATGTTTTTAAGGTCAACCCTAATTTAATGTTTTTAAGATGAAACTTAATTTAATGTTTTTAAGTCAACTTAATTTCATGTTTTTAAGATTCAAACTTAATTATTGTTTTTAAGATGAAACTTAAATTAATGTTTTTAAGATCAAACTTAATTTAATGATTTTGAGACCAAACTTAATTTAAAGTTTTTACGTCAACTTAATTTAATGTTTTTAGATCAAACTTAGTTAAATGTTTATAAGATGAAACTTAATTTAATGTTTTTAGATCAAACTTAGTTAAATGTTTATAAGATGAAACTTAATTTAATGTTTTTAAGATCAAACTTGATTTAATGTTTTTAAGGTCAACCTTAATTTAATGTTTTTAAGTAAAACATCATTTTCATGTTTATTTCGGTTTTAAGTTCAAACTTAATTTTTCATGTTTACGTAATCATAGTTTTTAAGTTTAGGCTTTGTTTTTAAAAAATTAAAAAATGTTAAGTAGTAATATTTAGTTAAATATTTACTCGATATTTAAATATATGTACTTATTTAAAAAATAGTTATACACACATATGTCATTTAAATGGCTTAAAGTAAAATGAGTTCTAAAAAATGTATTCTCATTAAAATAAAAATCTTTTTACACAAAATTGTGAAAAATGAAAAAAAATATTTGAAAAATTTTTATAATTATTTGCCAGACTATAATTATTTTTTTTATTTTTTAAATGTAAATATTATTTCGTGTTTTATTTATTTTGTATTTACTGTGAATTTATTTTAAAATTTTAATTATTTTATTTGTTTGCACTTTTAAGAAAATAATTTGCCTCTGGTTTAGTTTATATGCGAACAATTATATATATTGAATAACAATTTTTTGAGCTAATAAAAGCTTTAGCTTACATAAATTTTATGAGAATTAAAATGTACCCTCTTGTGTTGAGTGTCAAGCGTTTTTGGAACTTTTTTAACGCAAAAACACTCAACATTTGATATGGATAGTATTTTAGGAGGGTGCGCTTTTCACAGATGCACGAAAGGTTGCACGGACTTAAAAATTGACACTCAACAGAACACTTAACAAAGTACTCGACACGAATACCATAGTGGGAGTAGCCTAATATAAACTCCGAATTGAGGGAACGGGCTGGCGTGATATAAAGTATAGGATTTGCTGAGTCCAAAAAGCGTCGAGACTCCCATTTTAGACATAAAATTTATCGAAAACTCTATGTATAACTCAAATAAAGGCTGAATTCAAAATTAATTTATTAAAAAATTTTTTAAGGCTAGGTGAAAATTAAATAACCAAAGCTTGAATTTATTTATTTTTTATATAAACACCTATATTTGGCCTTCCTAAAGAGTCTGCATCTGTCAATATTAAATTAATAGGCTAGGCGAATTAAAAAAAAATTTTTTTCTATATAATTTGTTAAAGAAAGCTAGGCAAAATAAATTTAAAAAAACAGATGCAGACTCTTTAAGGAAACAAAATTTTATTAAAAATTTGTGTAGATTTTAAGCTTTGGTTATTTAATATTCAATTGCCATCTATTTTTAATTTTTTAAGAATATTATATTCTCAAAAAAAAATTTTTTTTGTAATATACATAATAATTAAATAGTTTTTGCTTTCAAAAAATTATTTTTTCTTTTTAATTATCAAGTTTACATAAACAGTAACATTCTGTTTGTGAGGAACATGAAATTAATTTACCAAATTAAATTACATATAATTATCAAACTATGAGGGAAAATAGATTATTTATTTGTTATTTTTGGTAAACTTAATCTTTAAAGCATTAAAGAAAATTTTGGAAAGTTTTTGCAAAATATAAATGGTTGTTATGAAAATAAAATTAATTTTAACATAATAACTTGGGTGAACGAAAAGATGCAAATACAGTAGTGTATGTATGCCATGAAAGGACAGATACCGTAAATGCTGAAATAATGTCCCCCCCCCCCCCCCCTCAAATAATTACCCCGCCTGTATTAGTTACCCCGTCTAGTGAAAGGTTGAAACAATAATTACTTTTAAAAATAGTATAATTAGCCTTTCTAAAATAACCTCTATTAATTATCACGCCTCTGTTTATTACCCCCTTGAGCGAGAGATTGAAACAATAATAATTAATACGGTTTTTACGGTATTAATTTTTATTTTGGGATTAATGAATATCTCTGTGAATTTTTCAGCTTTCTCATAACTTTTGAATGAATGAATAAAAAATAATTCCAATAATGAATTAAATTTACTACTAAACTATCGATAAATAAAAATTTTACATCACTCATACCAAAATTTTAAATCTTTTCTCTTGTTATTCCATCTGAATCCAAATAAAATTCATAACTTCCATTGTCAATCAAAGGACTAATTTTGGCAACAAATACCGAAATGGGATATTTACTGTAAAAACCCTGATTATATACATTCATTTGACCATCCTCAATATCATCTACATCTGTTTCTGATATTCTTATTGTTATGGAATGTCTCAAACTTTTCAATACTTTTTTCTCCAAATCAGAAATTTTCTTGAACATTTTAAACACACATCTTTCCTCGTTTTCTTTTTTGATTTTAACGTAAAATTGGAACCATCCAACAGTAAAATCCATCATGATAATAATAAAATAATTGCCTGGATTTTCAAATTTTAAACAAATTTCAATGTGAGAATATTCCATTTTCTCTTCGTGTTTTTTGCCTTTTAATGTTATTGAATCGATAAAATTAGCCTTGCTAAAATTTTCTCTTTTCAAAATTTTTCTAGGCCCTTCCGGATTCAAAAAACATATTAATCTTGCCAATTTATAATTGCTTTGAATTTGTGGCAGAAAAATTGCTTTAATTCCATCTAAGTATATTTCTCCGCCAGGATAACTAGGTACATTCGCATTATTCTTATTTAATAGTTTATTTACATCAATCTCGATTTGTGCATAAAACATGGGAAACAAATTCATTATTTCCTAAAAATGGAATAGAAATATTTAAAAATTATTTAAACCAACCAGAAAATGTTGGTAATTTAATCCATGCTGGTTATATCCTGTGTCTGATAATATAAAAGTAGGTTAGAATTATTGAAGGACGATATCGATATTTTAGGAAAAATTCGATATCGAGATCTATATTGATATTAACCGATATTAAAAAAAGTTTTTTTTATAAAATTTGCACCCTCTCCTGCGCCAAAAGCGAAAATTTTGAGAATTTTGAGGGCAAGAGGCCAGATTTCTTCCATTTCTTAGAAAAAAGGCAATCTTTAGGCCTGATATCTAATATCGATATCGGTCGATATTTGGGGCGATATTCTCGTATCGGTTTCGAGATCGATATCAGATGGAGCCGATATCGATAATAGAAAGAGACCGATATTCGTGACCGATATATCGATATCGTATCGGTCTCGACTTGTCCTATCCTAGTTAGAATTATTGAAAGAACTTTAGTTTTTATTTGAGAATTTTTTGTATAATTTTTACCTCCTCAAACTAGGGTTGCACCCCGAACGCTCGGGGGTGGATGTATCAGGATACTGGGTTTTCGTATGGTTTCGGGGCGGCGTATGGGGTCGGGCTGCATCTCTACCTCATACTCGGAAAAATTAAAAACCCCGTAACTGCCCCGAACGTTTGGTAAAAAAATTCTGGATATAAATTCGAATTTGAATGTAAAAGTTTCAAAATCATAAAAATGAGTATATAACTATTACATTTTTTATCAAGCTCTGTGCTAACATTAAATCTGTTC